GATAAGAAGGTTGTGAGACTTACGGGTGGGAAAGTTTTGCCTTACGTGACTAAGATTTGGGTGTGTCTGTTGGTTGGGACATTGATTTGGTTGGTCAAGACCTTGCTCGTGAAGGTTTTAGCATCCTCGTTTCAAGTCAGCACATTTTTTGATCGGATTCAGGAATCTTTGTTTAATCAGTATGTCATTGAGACGCTGTCTGGTCCACCATTGAGTGAGATTCAGCACAAGCAAGAAGAGGAGAAGGTGATAGCTGAAGTTCAGAAGCTTCAGAGTGCTGGGGGGAATATCCAGGCCAATCTCAAGGCAAACGTGTTTTCCAAAACTGGGAAAGTGTTTGGGACGCCCCGGCAGAGTCCCATGGCTACAGATGCAAAGAGTCATGTGCTTTCTGGGATAACGTCAAAGATGGAAGATGAGGCTGGTATAACAATTGATCGTTTGCATAGACTGAATCAGAAGAATATTACAGCTCGGAATATGAAGAGGCTGATTAATATTGTTCAGAAAGGTGTATTATCCACTGTGAACGAGCAAATACAGGGCTCAACTGATGAGGATGAGTCAGCCGTGCAGATCACTAGTGAAAAACAGGCAAAAGCTGCAGCCAAGAAGATCTTCTACAATGTGGTGAAGCCTGTATCAAAGTTAGTTCTTTGTCCATGAAGTTTTTGATTTTAACTTGGTTTATTGACAGCAACTTGTTAATTTTTTAAGTTCTGCTTCCAAATTTATTCGTTGCCTTGATTTACATCATTTATTCTCTTGCTTGGCAATTTGAAATTATACTGTCATTATGTTCATTCCATCGCTTGGGTGTACGGACACGGATTATTCCAACACTGACATTCTTTAAGCAATAAAAAGTGCCAAGTATATTATCAAGGTTAGAACACTATCGCAGTTGACCTAGGATATTTGATTGAAGGTTTCCATTTGAACCAAACTGCTGAAAACTCCAACATCTGCTCAAGACATCACAAATTCACTTAAAAATGTAGAATACCACACGATTTATTTACAGAAAGTCCAACTTTAGTTTTAGCATTTACATGCTCTTATGAATTTCATTTTTCTGTTGATTCCAATTTATTTATGTAAACTGTATGATTTGGTAGCTTGTCTTCTGTGATTAGATTCATTTACCTTGAGGATTTGATGCGCTTTATGAGAGAGGATGAGACTTTGAAGGCCACGCGCCTCTTTGAAGGAGCAAATGAAAACAAGGGGATAAGCAAACGAGCTCTTAAAATTTGGTTGGTAAGTAAAATTATATCCTTTTTACCCCTTTTCCTTTGGGATCTTATCATCAGTTCAAAATTGTGAGTAAGTTCTATCTGGTCAGTGTCAAATAAAGTCAAAATTGTGCTTGCTTTCGTGTTAGCAAGGCCTTCCAGCCACAGCGTGATTTTGTGGACTGATGAGAGATACATATAAATACATCTAAGGGGCCTTGCTTTCTTGTCCATGGTTATAGGAATGCATACCTGTAATTTATGGGGTAGAAGGGACTGGCTAAAAGGAACAGTTGGGGGAAGAAGAATGGGTGTGGGAATATTTGGATTTTGACAATAATGGAGGTTCATTCATATAAGTTTGGAATGAGGGTTTAATTTCATTTTCTCTCTCCAACTCAGTCCGTGTCAAAAAATAATCTCTTGTAGACATTCTCTGATGATATAAAGGGGCTGTCTGCTAGCGCTTAAAATCAGGGAAATTGGCTTTTTTTTACCGTTACATTACAAAAAGTGGGGCCATCATCTCATAAAATTGGTCTAACACTTACGGCTCAACGTTCCAAATTTTGATTTCAAGCCAGCTCAGACAGCCCAAAATCTGTATCATAATATTTCTTTAAGACCATTTTGTAGGGGGAAACGAAGATGAAGTTCAATTTTGGGTGACCTAATAAATTTGTGGACTACTAAATATTATCCCAGAATAAAAATTTGCTCTGGGAGCTCTACCCTAAAAACCTCAAGCAGGGTGGGTTTGCTTTTGCTTAGGCTCAACAGCCTAACGCCGATTGACGGTAGAAAAGTGTATTATGGGAGTTGGAGGAAGCATTATTTGTTAGACGCTACTATTGAACTGTTCAAAATAATAATAATAATAATAAAACAATTAGCATTATCTTTTATGCTTCATCGAAGACTGTAGTTCATGTATGTATCCATTATAGGAGGAGCGAAATATAAATGTATTCTGAACTTTTCTATTACTTCAACAACAAAAATATTATAGTATTCCATATTACTTCTACTATAGGTCAATGCATATACAGAAAGGCGAGCCCTAGCTTTGTCTTTGAATGACACAAAAACCGCTGTCAACAAACTGCACCTAATACTGAATGCCCTCGTGGGATTGGTCATAGTTATCATGTGGCTCCTTATACTCAAAGTTGCGACCACACAGTTTTTCATCTTCTTAAGCTCTCAGCTTATTTTGGTTGTATTCGTGTTTGGGAACACATGCAAGACAACGTTTGAGGCTATTATCTTTTTATTTGTGATGCACCCGTTCGATGTGGGTGACCGTGTTGAAATTGATGAAGTTCAGGTAAGATTCAAGCAAATTTATTTTCTTTTGCATAAGAATCTGCATGGCTATGCATATTCCATTATGATTATTATTATGCTTGTGCTTTGTCAACTTTTCGTTTTAATTTATTCAGATGGTAGTCGAAGAGATGAACATATTGACAACAGTTTTTCTGAGGTTCGATAACCAAAAGATATATTATCCAAACAGTGTCTTATCCACAAAGTTCATCGGTAATTACTATCGTAGTCCAGATATGGGTGATGCAATTGATTTTGTTATCCACATTTCAACTCCGGGGGAGAAGATTGCAACGATGAAGGAAAGAATAACAAGGTACAATATTGTTGTATCATTTTTTCTTGGTATTCATGTACCTCGAAGCAAGTGGCTGTTTCACTTGAAACGATAATTTTTTGACATGGAAATAAGGAAGTAATTTCTGTAAGAATTACTTTTACATTAACTTTTTCTGCTTTAAAGTAAGAAAAATATTACGTACATATGTTTCTTAAACATATATGTTTGCTAAAAAGTTATTTTTTACTTTTTTTTTGACGAACATGTTTGCTAGAAAAAGTATAAGTAACTTTTAGTTCAAAAGCTTACTCCTTTTGGTTTTATACTTCTCAAAAATTAATTTTAGGCTTTTTGGGCTTAGCAGAACATTCTTTCAGTCTTGCTTTGCACAAGCTATCCATCTCTATACTAATCGTAAATTAACACGAGATATCTGTCTAACATGTCATGTTTTATGGTGTTATGGCCAATGCAGACATGTAGGAAATAGGAGTGATCACTGGTATCCGGATCCACTAATAGTCATAAGAGATGTGGAGGATATGAACACGCTAAAATGGTCGGTATGGCTTTCTCACACAATAAATCATCAGGATATGGGTGAAAAGTGGTCAAGGAGAGCCCTTCTGCTCGAGGAGATGGTTAAAATTTTCCGTGAGCTTGATATTGAATGCCGTTTGCTGGCTCATGATGTGAATGTACGTAACATGCCACCTTTGACTTCGACCAGGCTTCCTTCTACTTGGACCATATGTGCTCCTTGATCTTGTATGAAGATAATGGCGGATTTTCCTTGTTGAGTTATGGCCCTTGGGTCCCATGGACGAGAGATGAACAACCTGGAACAAATTTGCTCACCTTTGCGTTGAAAGTGTTGAAGCCAGCCATTCTTACTTTATTTATGTACATACATACCATCCAATATTGAGTATAAATATATTGTAGAGCATATTTTAATTACTACTATTGTACATTTGTCGTGAAAGGGAGGAAACCGAGTTTATACAAATCCAACTCAATCCAAAATCAGCACTATAACCAACAAAACCATCACCTGTACCACCATCGCCAGCACTACCACCACCTCAAAATCCACCACAAAAAGACCTAAAAAAACAACCATAAAAAATCACATCCTCCACCACAACCACAATCATCACCCCAACAAAAACTAAACCCTTCTCTGCACTCTACCACCACCA